CATTTAATATAGATAATTAAAATGCCTTTCAGGCATAGACAATGAAAGTGATGTTTTATTGAGCATAAACTCTGAAGCCAAACTATGTGGGTTTAAATTTCAGCTCTCCAGCATATTAGCTTGTGACCCTGGGCAGTTCCTTGACCTCTTTGTGTCTCAGTTTATTCATCTGTAAAATGGGGCTAATAATAGGACCTATCTCTTAGTGTTTCGTGGGCATTAAATGAGTTAGCTCATGTAAATTGCTTGGAACAGTTATTGGTATGAGTAAGCACTTATTAAGTGCATGCTTTCCATGGCTTGAATGAGAACAGTCAGCTAATGTCAACTTGGGACCCTTTCCAAGATGGAAACTTTAGACTGTACTACCAGTATTCCCATAACAATTTCTGTGAATCTTTTGAATTTATTATTACCCAATATCCAGAGATTTTGTATATTCATTTAAAAGAAATCTTCATGATTTTGACTAAATCCCTAATTACTTATTTTTTAGAAGTTACCTAAGGAAACCTACTAGACGTAAATCATAATAATATTATTTTGAATACATTTGTTGGTGGATTTAGTTGAAAGGAGCATTTGTTCAATTAGTAAAGAATTTCATTGCTAATACCAGAGATGTCTTCAGGAAAAATGTGTGGAGTTAGGTTATGAATATATTAATGGTTATCAAAAACGTTCATTTATTTCACTCAGCAATCACTAATTGAGCACCTGTTATGTCAGGCACTATGCCAGGTGCTAAAACCATAGCAGTCAGTGTCTTAGCTAAAAAGTCAAGTTATTCTCTGTTTAAAGGCAAAGAATTTTAAACCTAGTGTTAGCCAGTGTCCCAGCTCATCATTGGCCAGGGTAAGACTCTTGACAGCAGGTTTCTCTGTTGTTTCCTTTTTAATTGACTTTCCTGAGAGGAAGGGGGAGGGAGGAGGAGCGGGAGAAACATCTGTGTGAGAGAGAAACATCCATCAGTTTGGTTGCACCCGGACCACGGGATCAAACCTGCGACCTAGGTGTGTGCCCCTCCTGGTGTGCGGGACGACGCTCCAGCCGGCTGAGCCGCCCGGCCAGGGCAGCGGAAGTCTGACTTCTCTCACAGCCTGGGTTTCTGCATGGACTCCACAGACCGCAGTCTCCGATTGCATTTGTGGAGGGGGGTGGCGACGAACAAGAATGAGCTGGCCCTGCTGACAGACCTCTTCCTCTTAGATCACCTCCGTGGACCTGGTGCTGGGCCACGAGGCGGGAAGGTGCGTGGTTTTAAACTGGCAGGGCGGAGGCGGAGACGCCGCTTCCACCCAGGAAGCCCTCCAGGCCTCGCGCTCTTTCAAACGACGGCCCAAGCTCCCTGACGACGAGGTGCACTGGGACAGCGTCCTGGTCCAGGCCAGCACCATGTGAGTCGGGCTTGCCAGGCGGGCGCCTTGTGTTTCAAGTCCCTGTGAGGCTCATTTGTCTCTAAAGCGACCAGTTCCTCAGCTGCGGTTTTCCCCACAGGGTCATCTCCAGAGTTCCAAGCATCTCGGTGCACCTGCGGCACGACCCGCCTGCCCTGACGAACGAGATGTACTGTTTGATTGTGACCGTTCAGTCCCACGAGAAGACCAGGATCCGAGACGTGAAGCTCACTGCAGGTTTGAAACCCGGTACGCATGCCTTTTCAGTTTGGTCCATGGTGTGGGTCTAGGAAGTCTGTTTAAAATGTGGTCATGACGCAGTGCACTTTGTGCAGTGTAGACTGTGAGGATAAGCTTTGAATTCTCCGGATTCTAAAACAATGTTAACCCTTTTAGGACAGGATGCCAATCTAACTCAGAAAACTCAGGTGACCCTTCACGGGACAGAGCTGTGCGATGAGTCCTGCCCGGCCTTGCTCACCGACATTCCCGTGGAGGACCTGCGTCCCGGGGAGCAGGTAACCAGGTGGACAGTGCCGGGGAGAAAGGCTGCTAGCTTGTAGTTTAAATGGAGCGAGTCTTAGAGCATTTCATAGCATTTCCCGAGACAAGAAACATGACTTCACTTATGCCTGTTTTATGCCAATTTACACACTTAAATGTGTAAATGTCTTCAGGTTTTGCACAAGGGATTTTAGAACAAATGACCTTAATACAGAGATTTAGTTGCCTGATAAATAATTAAATAACACTGTGTGTGTAACTTAGTGAAATAATTTTTCAGTCAACTTTTGATTCCAAACCAAACACAAAGATTTCTTGAGGAGCTGGGCATGATGGTAAAAAGATGGAGTAGTAATGATCCCACTCTGACCCTGTGCAGGAACAGCCTGTGGAAAGTGTGCCAGCATTTAACCAGTTGCTACAGTAAAGGATAAAAGGTGGGGACATTATCCCCGAATATACAGGGTGTCCCCCAAAAATGTATGCACACTTTAACAGCTGATAGCTCAATTTCAAAATGTATTTTAAATAAACACTGCCTTTATAATTATTCAAAGTGTGTGTCTACATTTTGGGGGACACCCTATAGATCAGATGGAAATCTGTAATAGTAATTACATTAAAATACTTTTATTTTGCTGCAGCTGGAAAAAACTTTATACATCCGCTGTGGCACAGTGGGTTCCAGAATGTTCCTCGTGTATGTTTCTTACCTGATCACTACAACTATTGAAGACAGAGAAATCGTCTGCAAGTGTCACAAGGTATTTATTGTTTTTCGTGGCTCCTGCAGGAGGCGTCATATTGTTTCGTTTACTTGTCGAAAAGCAGGTGCTCATAGTCTGTTTCAGATTTTCATTAACAGCGGTTGATTTTTTTTTCTCACTTACGTTGATCATAAACAGTACAATAAGGCATTCATTGCTCAGACATTAGAAAATTGGCAGGCATGGCTTTTCACATAGAGAATCAAAAGGTTTGAGCACTCATGCACACAAATCTTGAGAGCTTAAACCTGTCTGCTATTTACAAAGTCACACATTAGATAAGAGCGGTGAGTTGGCTCATGTGTAGGAGGTTTTGGAGAAAGGGAGGTTTCCCTTTATGAGATATTTTTCTGTTAAAATAGGTTCTTAGGAAAGTCGGTGTGGTAAGTGCACACCGAGGAGAGTGACAGTAGGGAAGCTGTCAGAGTTCACGGCTCAGAGGCAGCTGCTGTCGACTCTGATGGAATTCTTAGTGGTCTGCTTTCTGTTTATAGGGGGGGGGGCATGTTTTTATATAGATTTAACCTTATCTTATGTAATGCTTACATCTATTAGTGGAAAACTATAGTATTTAGTATCTTACTCCTGGCAGCCCTGTTTTCTCAGCGTTTTCTAGAAATTGGGTTCTCGGCCCAGCAGGGCAGTTGGCCTAGTTACCTGGGGATTTGTCGTTCGGTCACTGCAGAGTCTGGGCAGTGGGCTCTTTATAAGTTCCTGGGAAGCAAAACCATCCCAAGGAAATCAGGAGTATTTCCCAAGTGGGAGGAGGAAGGCATGGAATATACTGTTAAAAGTTTCATCCAGCCCTGACCGGTTTGGCTCAGTGGATAGAGCGTCGGCCTGCGGACCAAGGGTCCCGGGTTCGATTCCGGTCAAGGGCATGTACCTTGGTTGCGGGCACATACCCAGTGGGGAGTGTGCAGGAGGCAGCTGATGGATGTCTCTCTCTCATCGATGTTTCTGACTCTCTATCCCTCTCCCTTCCTCTCTGTAAGAAATCAATAAAATATATTAAAAAAAAAAAAAAGTTTCATCCAGCCCTGGCTGGTTTAGCTCAATGGACAGAGCGTCAGCCTGCAGACTGAAGGGTCCTGGTTTCTTTCTTTTAAAAAAAAAAATCCTTTTTTAAAAATTGATTTCAGAGAGGAAGGGAGAGGGAGAGCGAGATAGAAACATCAGTGATGAGAGAGAATCATTGATCGGCTGCCTCCTGCACGACCCCGACTGGGGACCGAGCCTGCAACCTGGGCATGTGCCCTGACCGGGAATCAAACCGTGACCTGGTTCATAGGTTGACGCTCAACCAGAGCCACGCCGACTGGGTTAGGGGGTCTCGGCTCGAACCGTGACCTGGTTCATAGGTTGAGGCTCAACCAGAGCCATGCCGACTGGGTTAGGGGGTCCCGGCTTCAATTCCGGTCAAGGGCACACACCTTGATTGCAGGCTCGATCCCCATCCCTGGTCAGGGCTCGTGTGGGAGGCAACCAATTGGTGTGTGTCTCTCACATCGATGTTTCTTTCTCTCTGTCTCTCCCCCTCCCTTCCACTCTCTCTAAAAATCAATGGAAAAATGTCCTTGGGTGAGGATTTACAAAAGGATGTTTCTTTCTCTCTGTGTCTCCCCCTCCCTTCCACTCTCTAAAAATCAATGGAAAAAAGGCCTTGGGTGAGGATTTACAAAAGGAAAAAAAAAAAAATTTCACCCAGCTCAGCGATTTTCAACCTTTTCCACCACGTGGCACACAGAAACTAATTGCTAAGATTCTGTGACACCAAAAGCGTATTTTTGCCAATCTGACAAAAGCATAATTTTGATTCATTCATACCAGACGGCTATTGTTGTTTGGCTATTGTCATTTTTTAATTCTTCAGTCTGAGGGAAAAGCGGTCAGTGCCCCTGACTAAACAGTCGGGTGTTGCATGTTTTAAACATGCTTGCGGCGCACTGACTAATTGCTAAGATTCTGTGACACCAAAAGCGTATTTTTGCCAATCTGACAAAAGCATAATTTTGATTCATTCATACCAGACGGCTATTGTTGTTTGGCTATTGTCATTTTTTAATTCTTCAGTCTGAGGGAAAAGCGGTCAGTGCCCCTGACTAAACAGTCAGGTGTTGCATGTTTTAAACGTGCTTGCGGCGCACTATTGACAATTCCTGGCCTCGCTGGATGCTGTCAGATGCGCCCTGGCTGGCGAGTTAGGCGGTGAGGGTGCTGTCTCAGCATTGCCTCCTACCTTGGGAGCTCAGCGAGCCGTGCAACTTCTTCTGGCCTCAGTTTCCTTGCCTGTAAAATCAGAATGTTACAGTTCCGTGCAGCGCTTGTGAGCAGGTGGAGCATGTGGTTAAAGGCAGGCTCCAGGGTCCGATTTGGTTCCGTTTCTGCCTTGGTCACTTACCAGCCATGGGACCATTTCATCTTCACGTGGCGGTAATAACGGCATGTGTTTCCTTGAGTTCTGAGCATTGCATTATGCACGTGTGGTGATTAAAACACGGCATCACATTACGTTATCATCATTGTTGCTATTTTACTCACCTTGAGTCGAGGCGACAGAAGAAGACCCAGATTTTATGCTTGGCACCGCTGGCGTTGTGGCCTGAGGCCCGCCAATGTCCTCCTCATCTCTGGCTCCTACTGTGGGATGGTGACAGTGCCTGCCCTGCCTACTCTCACCAGGTCCTGAGATAAATAATGCGCAAGCAAGCGCTTTGCAGTGTGGTGATAATACGCAAGATAATTTATTAGAAAAAGAGTCCGGTCTCTCTACATGGATTTTTACAGATATCTAAGGGGAAATCCTATATAAGTTGGAACTGTTTATTTAGACTGTTTGGTATGCCTTCTGTTTTGAAAACTTTACAGACGCTTACGATTTAGAAAACCATTGCATGTGCCTTTTACATTTTCCTGCAGGATGAAACCGTAACGATAGAAACGGTCTTTCCATTCGACGTAGCAGTTAAATTTGTTTCTACAAAGGTATGTCCCTATGAAGCGGATTGGAAATCACTTAGGTTCTAGGAATCAACAGGAAAAATAAAGCGGACTTACCTGTCTTCATTCGTGACAGTTCGAGCACCTGGAGAGGGTCTACGCTGACATCCCCTTCCTGCTGATGACCGACCTGCTGAGTGCCTCCCCCTGGGCCCTCACCATCGTCTCCAGCGAGCTGCAGCTCGCGCCCACCATGGCGTCTGTGGACCAGCTGGAGTCCCAGGTGGACAAAGGTGAGACTGTGGCTCATGCACTTAATTAGCAGAGAGTTAGGTGTGTGCCTGTGTGCATGCCCATGTGTGTGCTCCTGTGTGTATGCACATGTGTGTGTGCATATGTGTACTTAGCAATGTAAGAGTTAGCTTTTGGTAAGGAAAGGAACTTGAGACTTATGCTCACAAATACATTTAGAATTAAGGTATCATTTACAATTTCAGTATACATTTTTTTAAAAAGTCAGATTTTTGCTACTATAAGGAAGTTACTTTTTTAAAAAGGTACTTGAAAATATTACAGCAGGTCCTCGAATGACATGGTTTCATTCAGTGTTGTTTTGTCATAACATTGATGAGGTGCCATAGGGACGTAACTCTTGTTTCTGTCTGTAGCCTGTGGTTTGGTTCTATGTCGTCTCACTTAGAGCGGCCGATCTCCCTTCTGCACACCTCCTGCACCCGCTTCTCAGCCCCGATCTCGCTGCATCCTCACAGTTCATCAACGTTTGTTCCATCAATGAATAATGTCTATTTTTTAAGGTCAGAAGTCCCAAAACCAAGGACTGCGTGTCTGTAGGCTCCAGGGAGATCCTTCCCTTTGCCTTTTTCTGTTTCTGGGGCCACGTGGATTCCTCGCCTCGTGGCTCCTCCTCCATCTTCAAAGCCAGCTGTGTCTCATCTTCAGAAACCTTTCTGTGACCTCTGCTCCCATTGTCACATCTCCTTCTCAGACTCCCCGGTGCCTCCCTCTCTTCCAGCCCTTGTGGTTACATTGGGCTCTCCTGGATCATCCAGGACAACTTCCCAGCTTCAAGACCCTTAATCCCATCGGTGAGGTCCTTGTGGCCATGGGAGGTGACATTCAAAGGTTCTGGGAATTAAGTGCGATATCTTTGTGGGGGGGTGGTGTTATTCAGTCTGCCGCCTCCGAGAACACCAGCACTGGTGCACTGTAAAGTTTGCGTTTGACACATTACAAATCACAACTGTCCTAGGCCATAAATTTGACCTTAATGTTAATTGTTCAGGAAGTCTGTGATCATTTTGGTTTTAACTTCTTAGAATTAGGGAGGACTTTGGGGGAATTAATATGAACACCTCAGTTTTTTAAAAAGCTATTCTAACAGGGTTGAATTGATGTGAGTTGTACTAACTGAGCTACATTATCATATCCTAGTCCTTAAAAATTAATTAAAAGTAGTTAATTCAAGTGAAGATTGATCCAGCTTTTTTCCTTTTCATTTCTGGTATCTACCACAATCTCAACCATCGATTCATCACAGCCTTCTTCATGGGAAACCCATAAAAACAGTTACTAATGTTCAGGGACTTGGCTGTCATTCTCGGGTGTTGCTCCTAGATTTGCTGAAGTTGGCATTAGATGGGCACTGTTGCCAGCTGGCATTTATAGGAGTGACACTGCAGGCCAGGACGTGCCGGAGGGTGGGAAGGGCTTGGTTTAGACGAGCCTTTATCTAGTTATCAGGAGATTTGCTATAAGTTGGTGAGAGGAGCGCATCCTTGCACGAGAGGTAAGTAGCCACGTTGGGCAATAGTGAGTCACTGTCTGATGTATTCCGTTTCTGTGTCTCAACAGTAGGTGCTTATTCAGAGACAGTCCGGAGTCTCCTGGAATGCCATTCGGACCACTTTAAGGAATAACTAAAATTACCCGTTTTTGTATTTTACAGTCCGGAGTCTCCTGGAATGCCATTCGGACCACTTCAAGGAATAACTAAAATTACCCGTTTTTGTATTTTTTGTGTGTGTTTTTTTCCCCTATTGGGAAGTGTTTCCTTTGGAGACATGAAGTAATTTAGAGAAATAAAAATAATCACCAGAGGGTGTTATTCTGACTACAGACTCCTCCCCTTCACTAGTCCCCAGGGGAACGTGTCACCGACAGGCAGCTGCTCGCCTGCTTTTATTGCTGGATTAGAAAAGACACGGGCTGTTTCCCGATGGGACTCTCTGCTCGCTCGGGAGTCCTGCACAGGGACTGAAGGGCTCGTGCTTGTAGTTGTCTTGCAGACCGGAGAGAGCGCGAGCGAGTGCTTCTGTCTGCGGTGCCCGGCGGCGGGGAACGTGGAAGGTGGAGTGGCCACGGGGCATTACGTGATCTGCTGGAAGAGGTAAGATATGTCAGCGCTGTTGCTCTTCACCGTCTGCTGTTCTAATGGCTTAGTTGTTCCTCGTCGTCCTTTAGTAGCTGGGAGCTTCTGTCAGTCCCGGAAGGAGGCTGGCAGCCACAGGCTGTCACTGCCCATGGTCACGTCCACGAAGATGAAGGATCATTGCACTTCCGTCGGTGTCTTGTCACAATCTGTGACCTATATTCTGAGGGAGTCTTACCAAACTGATTTTGATGATTGGACCATTAGCACATTAGGAGAAACTGCCCTTACTTGCAGTGAACAGGATTGCCTACGTAGCACACCCAAGGGAATCAACAGATTGTTAGAGTTATAAGCGTTCCGGCGAGGTTGTGGGTTTAACATCGGTATACAAGGGCAGTTGGATTTCTGCACTTCAGGAGTAAACCTTAGCCAGTTGGTGACTGTCCACGGTCCCTGTTTTGATTGATTGACTTTGCACGTGACATGTGACTGAGGTGCCCTTCTCCGCAGGACCTCGGCCGCGGACAGCCTCCCTGCCATCAGCACCGCCATCACCCTGCCGCACGTGATCGTGGAGAACATCCCCCTGCACGTGAGCGCAGGTAACGCATGCAGGCCCCCAGGCAGAGGACCCCAGGAGACGGGTGTTCCGGCTGCTAAGACTTTTAACATCTTGATTATGAAAAATACCTGACATTTACCAAAGTGGGCTGTGAGCAGTCTCGTTTCACGTGCCTCTACACACTCCGCCTACCCCATCATTTTGAAGCAAATCCAGATATCATTTCATCTCTAGATATTTCAGAGTGTATCTGTAATATTAGTGGTTATTTTTCTAAACCTCATCAGAATACCATTGTCATGACTTTAAAAATTGGCAAAATTGTCTTAATATTATCGAATTCTAGTGTTGAAATTTCCCTGGTCGACTGAATGTTCCTTATGTGCCTGCGGTCTCTGCTGTGCATGGTTTTGTAACTGGGAGGCAGGCCGACTCCCTCTCCCCCTCCGGGGCCATCGCCTTCCACACGTCACCTCCCCTCGGCCTTGCTGTTTGTTTACCGAGGGGCCGAGTCATTTGTCCTGCGGAGCTTGCTGCAGGCTGGACTTTGCTGATTGCACTGCATTATTGCTAAGTGTTTCTGGGCCCTATAAATTGGTAGTTCGATCTGTAGGCCTGGTCAGATTCAGGTTCAAGTTTGGGGCAGGAATACTTCATATTCCAGGGATGTGCTCCCATCAGTGGCACGGGATGTCTGCCATCCCTTTTTGAACCACGGTTGATACTTGGGGAAACCTTTGGTAGATTTTTAAATTATTCCTAAAATATAATTCAGCTCCGGACAGCCAACTCCCTTTCTAAGTCAGTCACTTTCAAAGGAGATGTTGAATTGTCTTCCCCTGTTTTTTCATAGTCCTGTGGCCTTTTTAATCAGGAAATTTTATTTAGCAAGAGCGCAGGGATACTGATAGTTTAAATAAGCCCGTGTCTTGTAGAAGGAGAGTTATTTGCAAGAAGACCCCACAGAGGGTGAGCTGTTTTCTAACCAAGAGGATCGTGTCCTCCCTGCAGACCTGCCGTCGTTCGGCCGAGTCAGGGAATCGCTGCCCGTCCGGTATCACCTGCAGAACAAGACCAGCCTGGTTCAGGACCTGGAGGTCTCTGTGGAGCCCAGCGACGCCTTCATGTTCTCGGGGCTTAAGCAGGTACAGTTCGCATCTCACTGGGATGCTCCTGTAGACACCAGGTGTGGCAGGGCGTGGAGAGCTGTGCACGTGGGCTGACAGGACTGACCATGGACCTGGGATTCTGATAGGAGTGCATCTTCAGTCTCTTCTGTGGATTGAGTACATTGTTACAGAGGCGGGATCAATGGGCAGACCTCACATTGCGATCACGTGTATAGGTCCTTTCTTCTTGAAAACAAGAGTTCACAAATCCTTGGGCTGTATAATGGGATTCCTGAAAATCTTAGATTTCCCTTTAATGACTAATGAGTGCGTGTGTGTGTGTCTGTCTGCTTTTGAGGCCTGGAGGCATGACTACCTATATTAAAATGCCTAATTCTCTTCAGCACTGCCAGTGCAGTGTTTTGTCGTCAATAAGTACTTTTTATTAATAGAACATAATTAGAGGAACAAATGTGTCATAACACCTGGAAGTACATACCCTGACTAGTCATCTGTGCCCTGCGTATGCGAAATAGAACTATATATGATGCATACTCTAGTTCATACACTAATTTAAACTTTTGTAAGTACCACGCGCTAACCGATTGCACCACTGGAGCTCCACTAATTTAAACTTTTACACAGTAAGTATAATCTTAGCTCTGGTATGTTGGTGCACATGTACATATATTATCTGTGGCATGGACCTGTATGCACTCATTTGCAAATGAGTAAGCTTTTCTTGCATGTCTTCATCTTTTTCACGTATTAACTTAAAAATAATTGGGTCGTGTAAAATACCAAAATCTTACCAGTTTGTGTTCTTTTCTAAAGTATTGTTAAAAATTTGTAAACATCTTTTTCCCCCTGAAGTTACTCACCTTAACAAAATTCCTAAAAAAACCCACAAGAAACAACTAGTGTGTCTTATGTTGACATCATGTTTACAAAGGTACTTTTCTGTAAATTATCCTTACTATTTTGTGACTCACTCTACCTGGCCCACGACACAGAATATATCGCTCAGTCTAGTGTGCTCATTTTTAAGCTGGTATAGTTGCCTTTTAGGTCTTGGTAGACAGAAATCATGTGCATAGTTTTTAATATGTTTTTACTGATTTCAGACAGACACAGGGAGAGGGAGAGCGAGATAGAAACACCAATGAGAGATGTGAGAGAATCATTGATCGGCTGCCTCCTGCACGCCTCCTTCTGGGGATTGAGCCCACAACCCCGGCATGTGCCCTGACCTGGAATCCAGCTGGGGACCTCTTGGTGCGTTGGTCGATGCTCCACTCCTGAGCCACAGCTGCCAGGCTCATGCATATGTCTTACACACGTATCATCCGTGTGGTACTAATTCAGCCTTACCTTTTGGAATCTATGGAGGATGGACTGGGAGAGAGAAAATATTCACCAGAGAGATTTGGGTGTCCAAACATTTGTAAATATTCTAGGGGTGACGACAAAGATATTGCAGGTCTGTGTATCTGATTATCTATGATTTTTGTGATTTAGATTCGGTTACGGATCTTACCAGGCACTGAACAGGAAATGTTATACAACTTCTATCCTCTCATGGCCGGATACCAACAGCTGCCATCTCTCAACATCAACTTGCTTAGATTTCCCAATTTCACAAACCAGCTGCTCAGGCGTTTCATACCGACCAGTATTTTTGTAAAGGTAAGGCTTGGACATCTGCCTTTTAAATATACTGTCTTGAAAACAAACAAAAGATTTGTTTTCCATGTAAACATCGCTAAACAATAATTTGAGACTAACAGTGATAGTTGTGATTTTTACCCTCTGAATTTGGCAGTATTGCTATCCATTTCTATAAAGTTACTATATTTATAGAATCTAATTTAAAAAAATGTTTATTCCCTTAGGTAAATGATTTATCTTTATAGTATCCTTAAGTGTGTTTTTTCTTTGGCTTTCATAAAGTATGTTTGTAAATTATAGTTAACTTGTAACTAATTTTTAATCAAAATGGACTAACTTTCTAAATATGATCACTGAATTCTCCTAATTCTCTCGGTTTAACTGTGTAATACCAAATTGGGGACTTTTTTTATTGAATTTATTGGGTGACATTGGTTAATAAAGTTATATAGGTTGAGTCTTTTCTGAAAATGGCCATCTATTGGGCACTGTACTGTGGTTTACTGTTCTGATTACTCCAGCTTCCTGCAGTAGAAGACTGTGGGTGGTCATAGTGTGTGACAGGGAGGTGGCCACACAGGTGGATCGTGTAGCTCGCACTTCGTCTCCCAGTCCGCCACTCGCAGTGCCTGAGCCGAGGCTGTTCATACCGACCAGTATTTTTGTAAAGGTAAGGCTTGGACATCTGCCTTTTAAATATACTGTCTTGAAAACAACCAAAAGATTTGTTTTCCATGTAAACATCGCTAAACAATAATTTGAGACTAACAGTGATAGTTGTGATTTTTACCCTCTGAATTTGGCAGTATTGCTATCCATTTCTATAAAGTTACTATATTTATAGAATCTAATTTAAAAAAATGTTTATTCCCTTAGGTAAATGATTTATCTTTATAGTATCCTTAAGTGTGTTTTTTCTTTGGCTTTCATAAAGTATGTTTGTAAATTATAGTTAACTTGTAACTAATTTTTAATCAAAATGGACTAACTTTCTAAATATGATCACTAGTGGGCTGACAGGGTTAATAAAGCAATTTTATTATGCACGTGACAGTTAATTTGGGAAGCAGAAATTAACTAATTTCCTAATTCTCCTAATTCTACGCAGAGGATAGGCTTTGCTGATTTCAGACAAATTCTGTACATGTGCAGAATTCCTAACTGAATTCTCCTAATTCTCTCGGTTTAACGGTGTAATACCAAATTGGGGTCTTTTTTTATTGAATTTATTGGGTGACATTGGTTAATAAAGTTATATAGGTTGAGTCTTTTCTGAAAATGGCCATCTATTGGGCACTGTACTGTGGTTTACTGTTCTGATTACTCCAGCTTCCTGCAGTAGAAGACTGTGGGTGGTCATAGTGTGTGACAGGGAGGTGGCCACACAGGTGGATCGTGTAGCTCGCACTTCGTCTCCCAGTCCGCCACTCGCAGTGCCTGAGCCGAGGCTGCCCCCCCGATAGGCTGTGCTCCCCACTAGGCAGATGTTCTCAGCATGTGTGATCCCCTCTTCTTTTCCACTGGTGCCCGTTTGGGAATAGGTTCCATTGCACAGTTTCCCTTTTCCTGTCTGTCACGTTTGGGGGAACTGGGCCTTGCTTCTGTTACCCGGGACTTGGTACATTACAAGTTAGTTTCTGCTCATGTGTCCTTCATAATTTCTCTAGCTTTTATTTTTCTAGGTTTACACACTTTTTTGCATCTGCAGAAAAATTGCTTTATTAACCCTTCCAAGCTTTTATCCTATTCCATACTTTAAATTGTTTAAAACGAAACGAAACAGAAAAGCCATATTCATGATTTTAGATCTCTAGTGTCTAAATAGTTTTGGATTCACAGCGAAATTGAGAGGAAGGTAGAGATTTCCCATATACCCTCTGCCCCACCAACAGTGGTGATAGATTGGCAGTGGCGCTAGAACACCAGGTGGCTGAGGTGGGGTCGGCAGGTGGAGGTGCCTGATCAGCTGGGGGTGTCTGCAGGGGTCAGAAGGAACAGGGGACCGAGCACACAGTTGCCGGCCCCAATTCAAGTGAAGAAAGAAGCCGAGATGAAAGGCAAATACATTTATTTTGGTATTTGCACATGTTTATACTGTTTTTGTGAACAGTTCCAAGAATTTAAAAATCTTTTCAATTAAGAGAGCTTATGGGTCACTATTACTCTGTAAACCATCTTGTTTTCTCACTTCGAAGCCACAGGGCCGACTCGGGGACGACGCCTCCATCGCCGCTGCATGACATTCACGCCGGGCCTGGCCGTGCTCGCAGACGCTGGACAGAGCTCCCTGAGGCTTTCATTCCGAGCTGTAGCGTTGATCGTGGTGAACGTTAATCTTTATTTTTTAATGGATGTTATACCAGCTATTCAGAGGAACTCGTGCATAAGAGATTAGCAAAGCCTATCCTCTGCGTAGTTTCACTAATAAATCTTTGAAATCTGTCAGTGCGACGTGACAGCTGTCAGACCATTATTGTTGAAAGTCATTTGTGAATAGTAAATTCTTTTCAACGTAGTGAAGTGCATGTGCAGCTTCCGGAAAACCCAGCCCTACCGGAGTGGACGGGAGGGGCATGCACCGGGTCTGGGGGAAGCTCTCCATCCCCAGCAGCCACGGGGCTCACCCCAAGGTGGTCATCCTCACATCTCAGTGTGTGCTCACGGCGCGGACACAGCTGAGCAGCCACCCAGGACCGATCCAGAAGACTTGCTGACAGCTTTCATCGGAGCAGTCTGAGCTCTCTCACACGTGGCTTCACTTACCACCAAATCATGTCAGAGGGGTCAGCTCCCACCAAGCGTGGCTCCTCTGTGGGGCGCGTTTGTGTCTGTCATTAAGACCCTTATCTGTAAGGGCCCAAACTGCAAGGACCTGGTCGTCAGCGTAATTCCCTAAACAGGAAAGTTTTTTAAAAGATTCAAGGTCTAAATAAGAGCTTTTTGTTACGTTGTGCAGTTTAAAAACAACCATTTAGGTTCTCGAAAATTCATGTAAATAAAAATCACATTGTGAAAATCTCTTTGTTTAAATATTTTAATTTAAAACTACCTGATTTCCTGGAAATGTTGATTATTTAAACAAGTGGGAGTTGTAAAAAGGAAACTGGTGTAAATAAATGTGTTCTCTTTCAACGTGCCTGCAGATATCTCTCATTCACTTTGAGCTCAGTCTGCGACACGGCTGTGCCCTGGGACCCTGGCGCCAGGCGGTACAGAGCAGGGGACCGGCTGCTTTCTGTGTCTCGCCTCACTTGAAGGAAAGAGTCTTGATTTTGGCTTTAATTGAGTCCTTTCTTTCATGGCCAATGTTACAGCTCCAACCACAATATTAAAAGTCTTCCAGTTGATATTCTCCCTGATGATACTGTTAAGAATGCCGAGTTGTGATTCCACATTGGCATTGCATGAGAAACAGTACTTTCAAGGACAAAACCCAGCAAATGGAAAAGGTAAGCTTGTACTCCTGAGGGGAGGGTTCACACAGGCAGTCCCAGCAAACGCCTTTCGGAATCTCCCTTCTTGACCAAAAGCCCAGAAAAGACCTTAAAGTGTCCGGCTGCTCGTTTAAAAAGCCTTCGAGATGGAGTGTGCTATCTAATGGTGAAGTGAATAAGCAGTAACGACTGACTTTGAGAAGCAGGTGAGTGCGACTCTAGTGATCAGAAACGGCTGAACGAATGAATGCAGGACACCAAACACAGGTGTGTGTGGTCTGGCTGTGGGTTTGTTCTGAAACATTCCTAACCTGCGATCCTCACGCCTGCCTCTGGTGGCCTCCACCACCATCCTCTCACCTAGGCAAACAGCTGCCTACAGTCCCCTGAAAGTACAGAATGCCATGTTTCCATGGGAGGGCAAAGGAAGTCATAGCTGAGTCCTATTCAGGTTTTCTTCAAAGATCAAATCTGGGAGAAACCTTCCCTTCGGCTCAGTAGATTTGACCTGAGAATAGAGAGGTGGTCTCAGGGCCCAACTGTTTCTGCTTCCCAAAGTGTTTCACGGAGTTGGGGGGAGAGGATGATGGAACCCAAGTCAGAACTGCCATGCACACCCGGTTTCAGGGTGTGCGCGCCACGCAAAGTATGGTAAATTCTGTCTTCTCCCCAGCCATTGAAAGCATGCAAACCCACAGCAACCTGGGGGTGGATGCTCAGCCACGGAATGCACCCTCACCCTAGATCAGCACGCCTGGCAGAGGACTGGTGACAACCGTCCGTATTCGGTTGGTCAGGATTTCTGACTGTTCCCAGACGGTGGTCACCAGCACTTATTGAGTGCTGCAACCTGCCCGTCGTTGTGTGCTTACCTCGTTTAATACTAGTAAAAGCCCAGCGTGGCGTCGGTACTGTTACTGTCCCCCTTTTACAGTTGTGGAAACTGAGGCACGGAGAGACTAGGTGACTTGCTTGATTTCTGGGTATCTATTGCTGCAGGACAGATGGCCTAGAACCGTGGTCCGCAAACTGCGGCTCGGCAAACCGGGGCTCGCGAGGCACATGAGGCTCTTTGGCCCCTTGAGTGTGGCTCTTCAACAAAATACCCGCTCTTCCACAAAATAACGACTTCTGCGCATGGGCCACGAAGTTTCAATCGCACTGTACGTGCGTGCCCACATGTGGTATTTTGTGGAAGAGCCACACTCAAGGGGCCAAAGAGCC